CAGGTAGGGAGTGAGCTTGGGCAGAGCTTCCCTGGCTGGACACATACCCAGCTGTGGGACATAGGATCATAGAATCTCAGAGGGTGGTTTGTGTTGGAAGGGACATTGAAGCTCCTCCAGCTCCAACCCCTGCCACGGGCAGGGACGCCTTCCACTAGAGCAGGTTGCTCCAAGCCCCATCCAACCTGAGCTAATACTTCCTTAAGGAGCATCAGCTGTAAGAGGCAGTGCTGTTGCTGGTCCTTTTACATTTGGGATCTGGTGCTCAGTGTACACATTTGGAAGGTCGGGGTTGTTGACTTTACCCCTGCTAGTTCTTGGGCAGCTCAGCTGACATTTCTCTAACACTGCTCCAGTGCTCTGTAAAGAGATATGACCATCACGCTGATATTAGGAAATACATTTAATATGATTTTATATTGCTGTAATGATTGAGCAAATTCTGTGTTTCTTTATTCAGGACTTTGCCTATTCTCAGTCTTGGCTAGTACAGAGGAGTGATTAAGGGCTGTGCTGAATAGTTTTCAAGGGCTGCTGAGCTTAGGTTGCAGGTTTACTGTCTGAGTTGAGTCCCAAAGCAAACTTAAGACTGTTTCTGAGCACATCTCTTCTGAGTTTCACAACCTTGGTAATTAAGCACTCTCACAAAGCCAAATCCAAGCATAATGGAAACTTTGAGCAACAGAAGGATTAGAAATGGTGCAATAGAGAACGTTGGTCTTACCTAAATTTCAAAGTGTTCTTAAAAGCTTATACAGGCAAATGAATTTCATATTGGTTTGAAGGAAAAGAGTCATTGAGTTTGCAAGTGGCAGTGATGTAGAAAGAAAAGAAATAAGATATTACTGAGAGTTCTTACCTCAGGCACAAGATGCATCCCAAACTGTTGTGTAATTAAGGGTACGATTCCCAGTACAGTGGCCATAGTGGGATTTAGTGAAGCAGAAGAGGTTTAATATTCTGAATATGCAGTCAGATGAGCAAGACTTCATTGGTGTTGTCGCCTTACAAGTTCAAATGCTCTTCCTCCCTCCTCCCCCTATTTTTTCAATTGCCTTAAAAGATGTTAAGAGAGCAAAATACTACCTTAGCTTTTGAGGCAAATGCATTTCTTATCTGTAAAGCATCCACTTGTAGAATCACAGAATGGTTTGGGTTGGAAAGGACCCTAAGATCATCTAGTTCCAACTCCCTGCCATGGACAGGGACACCTCACACCAGACCATGTCACCCAAGGCCTCATGCAACCTGGCCTTGACCACTGCCAGGGATGGAGCATTTACCACTTCTTTGGGCCACCCTGTGCCAGCGCCTCAGCACCCTCACAGTAAAGAACTTCCTTATAGACTTCCTTGTAGACTGACAACAACCTTAAAACATCAGTTTTAATGAATGGATCAAATGTACCTTAGGTCGCTATCAGAAACGTAGAAATTAACTAACTGAGGAGAGTAGGTAACAACAGCCAGACATGATGGATGACCTGCTCCGGCATGGCAGATAACCTGCTCAGCTTCCCTGTAGGCATGCCAAGTTTTGTCCATATTCCAACAGGGAATACTCTATAAAAATTTAACAGCATAACATGTTGAAACGATAAAGTACATGCTCTGTTTCCTCTAAAAATGATTAACTAGATATTATTTCTCTCATTCTAAGGCTTGATAATGACTGTGAGTAAACCATGTTACTTCGGAAACCTGCTGCTGGGGATTGTTGGAGTAGATGTTAATCTTGCTTATATCTTGGAAGATGTCACCTACTACCAAGACTCACTGGGTTCCTACACTTTCCTCATTGATAATAAAGGTAACTTTTGGCTCAGATAATCTCTTCTAGTCCCACTGTGGTCAGTAACCATCAAAAGGAAACTCTCAGTTCTCATGTCTCTCAATAGTTGATAAGTAATGAAAGATAACATCCATTAAAAGATTAATTCCATGTTGTTTGGTTAGTTTTGCCTGAGAGTTGCTGGAAACTGTAGGTGGATTCATGACTTGAAATTTCTGTGCTGGAGTTTTGATGGGGAAATGCTTACTTGCTATTGAGATTTCCTACATGTGTAACATCTGAGGTTTTCTGTGTTAGGGCAAAAGGCAAAACTGGTGTATATGTGTGTTCAGCTCTTCTGATCCCAACCTCTTTTTACTGCTTGGTTCTTCAACCTGTCTTTCATTTGCACCTTACCTAGTTCTCCATTTGCAACTTCTTTGATGGTAATATTTGCTTCTTCACTGACATCTGTTAAACCTTTGCAAAAACTGTATTAGTTACTGTATTCTTTTCCCCTATAAATACTCATCCTGGGTTCAGTTGTTGCACTGCTCTCAATGTATGGGTTTGTGTCTTTCAGGATACACACTTATGCACCCATCCCTTACCAGGCCCTACCTGCTGTCTGAACCACCACTCCACACAGATATTATCCATTATGAGAACATTCCTAAGTTTGAGCTGGTGCGCCAGAACATCCTTAGGTAAGGAACTGGGATGCAAGGCCAAACATTAGCAGTTCTTGGGGCACTAGAAGTATTTCTAGAGGACTTTCAAGAGAATGTAAAGTTCCTTTTCCTATAATATCTGGATATTTTTCTGGAATCTTTCCTTCCCCAATGGTTCTGGTTTGTTTTTATCTCCAGCTTTCTTCATTTTATCATTTGGTGTAGTAAGCAGTGGTTTCCATAACTGATCTGGGGGATACTCTTTCTAATCTCTCTTCCACGTCAGGAAGATTTCCCACTATTTGGTCTGGGGTTTTCTTTATCCTTTGTCTAATCTAAGTATGTCTTTTAACTCAGAATGTGGTGGTACACGAGTGTGTTTTCAGCATACATGCACTCTTCCTTCCCCTAAGACAGACGACAGTTAATCTCATCATCTCTTAGGATATTTTTATAAATGCACAATAGATGGATTTTGCTTAAGCACTTACTCAGTGTTTAATACAATGTTGAATGTTTTATCTGCCAATGTAGCATTCCCCTGGGCAGCCAGATCATTACAGTTCCTGTGAACTCCTCACTCTCTTGGCATGTGAACAAACTGAGGGAAGTTGGAAAAGAAGCTTACAATGTCAGCTATGCCTGGAAAATGGTAAGAAATAAAAGCAACCCTGTTGCAGGATGGCATAGACTAAGTTCATATGTTGAAAAGTACGTTAATATAGTGAAGTAGTATGATCCATGCATTAACACAGTGGGAAATGTCAGCTTATTCTGACACTATCTTGTTGCAGAACTGTATCAGTAGCCAGTGATGCTGTTTGCTGTAATTTAACACTTTTCTTACAAACATTAATGATATTGAAGCTCCCATTGAAACTGAGCATGACGTGTATGCAACTGGCTATATTACCAGTTGTAAGAGTTTTAGGAGAGCTTCTAGCAGCTGTCTTCCTTTCTTTAGTTTTGAACATATCTGAACACTAGTCTTGACCCAGACATTAAAATGGAATCTAAGGTTAAATATAATCCAGGTGAGTCTCACCCATGCCAGAAATAATTGGCTACGTCTTTGTGCCAGCAAACTCAAGAGAGTACTTGTGGGTCATTTCACAGTGTTAAGTTAAATCTAACCTAAAAGATTAAGCTGAGCAGTTTCAAGAGATTACATCTGTCATTGTGTAACAGAATTTCATATAGGAGGGTGTCTGGAGCTAATTTTCTGATGTTGTAATGCTACATTAAATATCAAACACCCTTGCAGAGCAGCTGGGCAACTCCAGGCTTTACTAGTCTGATGTACTATAGGAAATTTAACATATGCAAACCAGTAAAGCATGTGACACATGCAGCACACAATTACGAGTGGTGATGATAAAATCTTATTTTGGAGAGTTCATTTGTCTGTATTCTTCATGAAGGGAATACCAATGTCTTTTTATCAAGTGTGAATCTGAAACCTTTGCTCTATTAATGACACTTCAAAAAGTATTCTAACACAGAACAGTGTTAGAAGTTATTGCTAATAGAGCAACAAAGTGAAGGTCTTAGTGTAGTATTTTTTCCTGACAACTAAATATTTTTATCCACAGATTATGGAAAAGTTTGGGGTTTTTTTAAAGCTTAATGGCTCTGATCCATACAAGATGATTACCAACTGGAAGGTGGCTGTATGGGACTGACTTGCGGTCATCAGACCACTGGAGACAAGTGTCTCCATTGTACATGGAGACCTGTGTGGCTTGAGCAGAGTCCTTCTCACTGTTTTCTATAAGACCAAGTCCATATTAGCTTCTTTAAAAAGGAGTTGTCTGTTTTCAGAGAGTGGGAACTGTGATCCTTGAGAGTGTGGCCAAGTGTGGTGCTGCCTTCCAGAACTGGACGGGATGAGCAATTAAAGAGTGAATGCTAAACATAATATAAGTTCTGTAACTCCTCCACCTTTTTGTTTCTGTTTGATGACTTGCCCAATGTTTTTCAGGTCCAGGACACATCCTTTATTCTGTGTGTGGTGGTAATACAGCCAGAAATACCTGTTAAGCAGCTGAAGAATCTCAACACTGTCCCCAGCAGCAAGCTCCTGTATCATCGCCTGGATCTGCTGGGCCAGCCAAACGCCTGCCTGCACTTCAAGCAGCTGGCTACCTTAGGTAAAGCCTCCTCACAGTTCATCTGGACCACCTTGTGTGTTTCTGTAGAGTGTGGCAGCAGAAAGCTTCTCACAAACCCCTGGAAATACTCTTCTCTTGAGAGATTCTCTAATCAGCTGTTACTTTCTTATAGCTCTTCACTGATCATAGCACCATGAGTGTATTTATCTAACTTGATCTGGGAAGTCCATCAAGTTCCCAGAAAGTGGAGTGCTGAGAGTGAGAGATGTCTCACCAAGCTTAAAACTCAGTTCTCTGCTCTCAGCTGTAAAGCAGCTTATTGACAAATAACCTAAGTAGGATGAAGTCCCAGCCAGTCATGCAGGACTCCTATTCTTTTGACTTGGGATTTGTGAAGCTTTTTCACTGCCATAATCATTTAATACCATCGATCCATGAGAAGCCAGAAGTCTGTTGGGGGAAACAGAACTTCAGTGATGTGATGGTTTCCAGACCTTCCTTACCTGCTTAATTGTCGGGTTACTGATGCATTACTGCTTTTGATATGCTAAACTGATTCCGCTCTACCTAAGTTCAGTAGTTGCTCAAACATTACTGGAAAGAGAGTGAGTTTCCATGGCACTGTAAGTTCTAGTGTCTGGAAAGGATAGAGATCTCCAAATATAGCCTGAGAACATAGATGTTTTTTATGTAATCATCATAAGTTGCAAGCTTTCATATCTAAGTATGAAATCTTGGGAGTTTGCTAAAATCCCTGCTGTATTATGAGAAGCTCTCAATTAAGTGCTTTTGTTCTTAGCAAGGTTTGAAGGTCTCGTGGTGCATTTTCTTAGCTATATTGCAGTGCCACAAATAGCTAAGTGAGATTAGAGTTATGGAGGAACTTAACAAACCTATGGAAATTGCTTTGCCAATTGCTTAAAATACAGGGGTTTTTTTTTGCTTTAATGTGGTGCCTAGTCTTGATTATCTTCTATCCAGAAAGACAAGATATAAATGGAGAATATCCAAAAAACCCAGTACTAAGCTGACAAGTGGAAAAACTTCATGCAAAGCAAAATGCAGTCACATCAGGGTATTTGATCTGGGAAGCAGATGAAGGACTGTAATAGAAGTTTCTAAGTGATGACTGCAGTACATCTGGTTGCTGGATGCATGGTGATGTGTTTTAGAGGAATGTGAATAAAAGCAGAACACTTCACATAACTCCAGTGAAATTTTTCCTCTGGAGACCATTACACATGGGGAAATGGGGTTCCATGGGTCAGATATTCAGAAAAGGAGTTGTTCTCAACCTCCAGCCCTGCCTCATCAGCAGCATTTTTCTTTTTAAAAAGAAAAAGCTGTCTGGTACTGCAGTTCCTGCACAATGAAAGTTCACTTTCTAGTCTGTCTGAAAATCACCTGGACAGCTACACCGTTATTGGTACCTTCCCTCTTCTCTGCTTGTAATTCTCCATTTGTTCATCACCTGTAACTAAAATTTCAACTGAAATGCATTTGTTTGTTATCTGTAGCTTTGGACAAGGGCCTGAGGGACAGGCCAAGGGGAATGGCTTGAACCTGCCAGAGGGGAGATTGAGATGAGCTCTGAGGCAGAAGCTCTTCCCTGTGAGGGTGCTGAGGTGCTGGCACAGGGTGCCCAGAGAAGCTGTGGCTGCCCCATCCCTGGCAGTGTTCAAGGCCAGGTTGGACACAGGGGCTTGGAGCAACCTGCTCTAGTGGAAGGTGCCCCTGCCCGTGGCAGGGGTTGGAGCTGGAGGAGCTTTAAGGTCCCTTCCAACCCAAACCAGGCTGGGATTCTAAGTGAGTGGACTGACTTTGTGACTTCTATATTTTGAAGCAAGAAAGGTTGTTTATGTGCAACCTGAGTTTTGTCCGTGCCAGGAGAAACAAAAGGTGAGTGCTCTTTTTGGGTGGAAACCCTCACGTTTCCTGCCCTCACTCACAGCCCACCGGTGACCTGAAGGAGCTGTGTGCTTTGTGTGCCAAAGTGTCGGAGAGTGGAGGAACAGGCAGAGGAGTGAACAGTGCATCAGTGTAATTCCTTCCAGGTGCCCTCAGCTAGGACACCACGTCACATCCCTGTTGTAGTACAATGTGTTTACTACGCAGTGTGTACAATTAATTGTCCTTAACTTCCTCACATTTTGCTGTTTTCAGAAAGCCCCACAGTAATGCTCTCTGCGGGCAGCTTCTCTTCTCCTTATGAACACCTCAGCCAGCCCGAGACGAAGCGGATGGTGGAGCATTACACCGCGTACCTCAGCGACAACACGCGCCTCATTGCCAACCCTGGCCTGAAGGTATGTCCTGGTGCTGGAGGACATGGTTTCCTCACATCCCACTCCTTCATCTAGAAAGAACATTGATCTCATGATGCTCTTAGGGTTATAGAGAGGTGGTTTGGAGTGCTATTCCCGTGCCTGGAGAGATTGCTATGGGGCTTCAAGGTCTAGAAGAGTGGAGAGAAGAGGAAGAGAGCTTCCTTCCCGAGAGGGGGGAAGGAAGTTGATAAGCAGCTATTGAAAAAAACTCTAGAAAAACTAAAGCTGCAGCAAATTCTTAGCAGAAAACCCTTTGTTTTCATAGGCACACAAATGAGAAATGTCTATTTTGTGTGCAAGCCAATCAGTATTTATATTTACATGAAGTAAAAAGGCAAACCCTAAAAGCCTCAGAGATAACGACAACATTATTTCATTATAATAAGCTTTCCCTTTGCTTGGAATGTGCCAGATCCGTCTGGTGTGAGAAGACTTGAAACAAGTAATTGAGTTTAGATGATCTCCGATCGCTCTTTAGGAAACCCCACGAGCAGCTTATTATCTTTTCCTGCAAGTCTTAGAGGAACCCTGCCAGGTCTGCCTTTGTTTTGCAGTTCTCTGTCAGAAATGAAGTAATGGCTACCAGTCACGTCACAGATGAATGGATGACACAAATGGAGATCAGCATCCTCAACAGCTACATTGTGCGCCGTTACATAGCAACCCCCAATGGGGTGCTCCGAATTTACCCCGGTTCCCTCATGGACAAAGCATTTGATCCCACCAGGAGACAATGGTGAGTTTTTAGGGTCCCGTTATCAAAGCTTTGGATAATCCCAAAGGGCAATAAGGGAAATAGTTGGTATCCATTTCATAGGCTGGGTTTGTTCATGGCCAGCTAATAAACTACTTAACTAGAAATGTTTTCATCCTTGGTGCTTAAATACAGCTTGTTAAACCCCTCCTTGGTTCTAATTCCAATCCTTCTTATTTTAAGTGATGGTTTCTGTTTCACATCCCTGCCATGGCAGATGGGACTATAAATATTCAGAAAATGAACATCCCCTTTAGGATTAGCCAATTCAGGAGCGTTTTCAGATCCTTGTGCCATTTTTGGTTGTGAATATTTTAGTTGTTCTGTTTGTTTACAGCGGGTTTCCTTGCTCATTTTAAAGCAGGAATTTGCTGGCTTCACTGCACTATTAATTATGCAGTAGCATCTGATTTGGGAAAATATTTGTATACATTACAAATGAGAGCTGGAGACATGAGAGTGCTCTGGAGTGTGTTTTGACGTGTGCTTTGTTGAAAGGAGCCAGCCAGGTACTTCCACACCATGATGCTGAGAAAGGCATGAGCCAGCGGCTCTGGCTGCACAGAGGGCAGGCTCTGCAATACTCCTGGCATTGGCCATGCTGCAGTTCTTCTGACACAGGTTTTCCCTGAAAATATCATTACCATGGCTACTGGTTAGGTTCTATTCAGGTGTTTTGTCCTTTTGGTTTCACATAAGGTGATGGAATTTTGCTCTTTTTCTGGTAGTGAGATAAATGGGGTGCATTCATATAGATGATATATATTCATATGTATCATACTGAAAAATTTCTTCCCTATGAGGGTGCTGAGGCGCTGGCACAGGGTGCCCAGAGAAGCTGTGGCTGCCCCATCCCTGGCAGTGTTCAAGGCCAGGTTGGACACAGGGGCTTGGAGCAACCTGCTCTAGTGAAAGGTGTCCCTGCCCGGGGCAGGGATTGGGACTGGGTGAGCTTTAAGCTCCCTTCCCATCCAGGCCATTCTAGGATTCAATGATACTGTAAATTAACTGAATGTAAATTTACAATCCCTTGTCTCCATTTTAAAAGCTCCCATATTATTTTCATTGTTGGTTTGGGGTGGGATTTCTTTTTTTTTATTACATTTCACTGATTTTCTGAATCCATGATTTTGGAAGAGCCTCCATGTGCAGCATGAGATAGTGCCCTGGTTTTTATATAAAGCCAAATGGTAGCATTGTCTAAAGAAGATGCAAGTAAAACACTAGAAATAAAATAGAAGTCAAGTAAGCTGCTGCACAGCCCAGTCCAGACTCATAGGTTAGTTACGGGGCAGAGAAAAGCAAACCTTTTTCATACACAAAAGTGTTTCCAACACTTAGAATGTTTTATACTATTTCTTACTTCAGTAAGAAAATAAATGACATGATCGTGGCTTATTTTCTGTTGAAAGAAAGTTTTAAAGGAGATTGTAATCACTTCCTGGCATATTTCTGAATTTTCTTGCCTGAATTCTGTCTATAGGATGTCATTTCTTCTCCATTTGCAACATATCAATTTTGCCAGCATTTACTTTGAGTTTGAGACTACTGGCACTAAGTAGTAGGTTCTTCTAGGGGAAAAAGGTCTAAAATTACATTAAACATATTCTGTGTAGAATATATTGAGGTTTTTTTAAATGCAGTTGGATGCACCGAGGAACCATTTATTGAGGTAGTCTGGTTGAGGTCTGAGTCCTGATCATGCTAAGGTATCTGTTTACTATTAAGAAACATCAATTTGGTAGCACATGGTTCACAGTGTGCAGAATTCAGTGTCTGTCTCTATTTCTACAAGATCAAGGATAGTGTCTTAAAAGGTTAAAGTAATCATTTGTCACTAATTATAATCATTTCTTTTGGCTTCCCTTAGGTACTTGCATGCAGTGGCTAACCCAGGGTTAATCACCTTTACTGGTCCCTACTTAGATGTTGGAGGGGCTGGCTATGTCGTTACGATCAGTCACACAGTCCATTCGTCCAGGTAAATGGTGTTTTGAGGTTTGTGCCAAGCAAGAATACTCTCAGTGATCAAGATTTGCTTTGGGTGGGAGAGAAAAATACTGGGTGACTCGTATGTGTCCAAGAACTGAAAACGAAACCTGGTTTTAAAGTGCTTTTGGTGACATGTAATATAACCTTATAATCTTAGAACAGCTCCAGTGCCTAAAGGGGCTACAAGAAACCTGGAGAGGGGCTTTGGACAAGGGCCTGTAGGGACAGGACAAGGGGAATGGCTTGAACCTGCCCGAGGGGAGATTGAGATGAGCTCTTGGGCAGAAGCTCTTCCCTGTGAGGGTGCTGAGGCGCTGGCACAGGGTGCCCAGAGAAGCTGTGGCTGCCCCATCCCTGGCAGTGTTCAAGGGCAGGTTGGACACAGGGGCTTGGAGCAACCTGCTCTAGTGGAAGGTGTCCCTGCCCGTGGCAGGGGGTTGGAACTGGAGGAGCTTTAGGCTCCCTTCCAACCCAAACCAGTCTGGGATTCTATGTTTAAAGGAAGTCAGGTTATAAAGTATGTACTAAACCTTTCACAAGCTCTCCCAAGTTTCAGGAATAGCAGTTACTCATTTTGGTTTTTACATGGAGTCTCCTCCAAGACTGTCACTGATCGTGTGGCTTCTGCCCACTAATACAAGGGTAACTTCTAACGTGCGGGTGACTACAGATCACAAAGCCAGCAGAGCCCAGGTCACTGCTTTTCTGCTCTGCTCAGAGACATCTCGGCTTTGTTTGGGATTTCCCACCACGGGACATCTGCCTGTCTCTTTTGGCAGGAGCATTATGAGGCTGAACGCCTGCGTGGTGCTTCTCACAGAGGAATTTACTTAAGGGAAAGCAGCACTTTTGTAAGAAGAGAAGTGCAATTAATCAGAAATCTGATTTTTATCTAGTAAGAGATGGTTTACTTAGCTTTAAGAACTTAAAGCTCATGTGGGTTATTAGAACATGATTAAAGAGCGGT